GGCAATTTCTTTATTTTTAAATTATTTCGGTAACAGAATGTCTTCAAAATAAAACAAAATTACCAAATGTTTTTGTACCTGTAGTTTAGAAGATCTCTACAAACATGTCTGACACTTTTCTAATAGAGTGTCCACTACCTGCTTGACTTTAATTTGACAATCCCCATGGAAACAAGTAGCCCACATCACCAGGCTAAGCTACAGGTCAGATCTGTGGAGATGTGGGCCTGCTCACAGTAATAATGCATGTTTTTGCGGTAGTTTTGAGAAATAAAAACACCAAAACAGTAACTGAATAAATACCAAATATGTTTAATGCCATACTGTGGAACATCTCAGGCAAAGCAATAACAGCACCATAGCGACTAACGGTATGCAAAAATCGTTTCGTTTAATTTGATGATACAGTATCGATATCGTGGGCTGCTGTATCAATATATGGGCAAAAGTATTTTTTGGTGTATTTTACTACATTATTTTGTTACAGAGCTACAGTTGTGTTGCTTGTTTAGAGGAAGGAAACTCATTTGTGCAACACATTTGAAATATTGACTATTTTGATTATTAAAATGGTGTGTTTCATATTCACTTTGCACAAAAAGTGGTGTAACAAAGACTTTTAGTATCACAGAAATCAATTAGACATTATTTCGAATCATTTTGATATATATCGTATCGAATTGAAAGCTCACTGTATCGAGATATGTATCATATCATGTGTCTATGTATCGAGGTGTGTATCATATCAGCAACTTTTTAATGATACCCAGCACTAATAGCGACGAGCAGATAGAGTAGTTTACAATGCACACTCTGAACTAAATCCTACTTTTTAAATTCATATTGCAAATCAAGCAATAGTAAAACAGACAAAATATATACATTAAATTAACACATTAAATAAAAAACATAAAAAAGTTATATATGCATTTCAGAGAGATGTTAATACAAAATTTTAAACATCTCATGAGAAAAGACTGAAATAACAAACAAAAATCCCACCCCTCCAGAAAATGGCTAGACCAATATAAATAACTACAAGGCAAGCAGATTTGAAAGTTGCAAGGCCCAGAGGAGAGGGGGTGTTTGGTTCTGAGAAGAATAAAGGATATCATGGAAAATAAGGTAAATTTATTTAATTGCAGGTGTTTATATTTCTCAAAACAACCGCAAAAACATGTATTATTTCTGTGTGCGAGTCCACTTCTCCACAGATCTAACCTGCAACTTGGCCCGATGATGATGCCTGCTTGTCTCCATGGATATTAAGAGAGTTAAATTTAAAGGGACATTCCAGACTTTTGGACATAGGACCTCATTTCCTAATGAGCCAGAGTGTTGGAGACGTGTGGAGACACTTTTTTAAACATTCCATCCAGTACTTGTATTTGCAGAGATCACTGGTGCTAGGCTAGTGTATGTCAATGGCCATAGTTAGCCTGTCACTAAAAACAGTCTTACTCACTCCACAAAACACCGCAAGCAAAACAATTATTAGGCCAGATTAACAATGTAAATGCCTGTGTTGTTAGAATAATGTTTGAAATAAAACTCACCTTGCATCGCATGAATCGTGGCATGTTGAAGGACTATTTTCTCATATATCGGTCCACCGCTGCCATGTTTTCTATCAGGAAGTACAACTCACTGCTGCTGCTCAGGCAGAAATCCTTCAAATGCAAGGCTGGTTTTACTTCTAAAATTATTCGACAGACAGTCACATCAACAGTCCGGCATTATAACAGATTTGCCTCGGGTGCACTGTGGAGAGGGTAGTGGCAGGCTAACTATGGCCATTGACATACACTAGCCTAGCACCAGCGACCTCTGCATATACAAGGACTGGATGGAATATTTTAAAAAGTGTCTCTACATGTCTCCAACTCTCTGGCTCACTAGGAAATGAGGTCCTATATCCAAAATTCTGGTCTATCCCTTTAATGCCACACTGTAGAACAACAACACTGAGTCAAGCGGGTGGCGGACTCTCTACCAGAAAAGCTACACAATGCAGTTATGAATATTAAGTGTGCTATCAAATTCATATTTTCTATTGGAGCACCTTTGTCCAATATGTGACCAACCTCTTGAGTGACAAGTGAAGTTAATGTAACAGATACATTAACTTAACTTTCCACCAGCAAGTGTCTTGCTCAAGGACACAGCGCCAGCATTCAAACTGCCAAACTTCGATTAAGTGGACAAACACTACCACCAACTGAGCTACTGTCACCCTGTTGATATAGCTACTAAATTGTGAGCAGATTTTACAGCCAAGATCCAATAGATAGGACAGGGACATTAAGCTGTATTTATGAGTGCATTACATTTCTGATGGCAGTCTCCCAAAGCTCAATTTTGATTCATTTTTCAATACTTTTTCTACCTTTCTTTAGTCTATATATCAAAATGCACTGAACTCAATAGCATAGAAATGTAAATCCTTTTGCGCTTTTATTGACTCTCCAAGCAGTGTAAAGGCAGGCACAGAGCATTTTACAGCACATTTTACTAAAGCCCTAATGGTTAACACTATTTTCACATACCGGTAAAACTTTTGCAGGGGTATGATAGTAATATGTGTTACATTTGGCAGAGATGTGGTCCCTTCTTAATTCTCTCCTAAAACATGTGTCAGACATTTACTGCCCCATTTGGTCTCGTCACAAAGGAACACTCTGCACCTGGCTCTCCACTTTCTCTCATCCTTCGCTCTTTCTCCCGAGCCGAGTCGCTAATGAGTCACTTGGAGAGAGATAGAAGCGCTTATCATAGTTTTATCACGACTGTCACTGCCCCACAGGCTTGCTGTCAAATACTGTAGATATGCAGAAAAATCCACCAAAACATAGCCCTCTTAAATTTAGTGTCAAACGTTTAACAGAATCAGGTGCAATGTCGACCCACCAATTAAGTTATTATAGATTCATTTCAACTTAATGTATATATTTTCTGAACACATCTTACAACATGTAGATTTTGTCAGTTAATTTTTGTTAAACCATTTACAATAATTAGAAACTATAATGAGATACTTCCTTAGCATACATCTACAGGTATAGGTATAAGTATAGCTGTAGAAAATTGTATTTTATGCAGTAGTATGAGTAGCAGCAACAAGGAACATTGACTCTCATGAGTTTTAAACCATGCTAGAATGCTGTTACCCAGAGGTGGGGACTTGCAAGTCTTGACTTGGACTCGAGTCAGACTTAAATCACTATTTTTAGGACTTGAGATTTGACTTGATAAAATAGACAAAGACTTGGGACTTGACTTGGACTTGAAAGTCAATGACTTGGGGCTTGACTTGGACTTGAGACCTGTGACTTGAGAAGACTTGACGTTTCTCCTAAAAAAAATATAAGTTTTTAAAAAATATTTTTCTCTTTACCGTTGATACTCCCACTTCTCTATTTATTAAAAGTCATATAAATTGCAAAAATCTAAGCTATATTTGGTATTTTTTTAAAAGATGTGAAATGTACAAAGCAAAGCACACAACTTGGACTTGACTTGAAATTATAGGCCAGTGACTCGAGACTTGACTTGGACTTGCCTGTATTTGACTTGAGACTCTGACTTGAGACTTACTTGCAACTTGCAAAACAACAACTTAGTCCCACCTCTGCTGTTACCTCATTAGAAACATACCCAGAGTTCTGTTTTGTTTCATTCACACATGTTTGAGTAATTCTTTATCATTAGTCTGCTTACATCAAAGCTCAAAATGCTCTTTTCCACCTTGTGATGTTATACAGTGGTAGTATTATATTTATCACTTGATTTCACCATTAGTTCAATAGAGCTTGGCAGTTTCAGGACTGAAATCATCCAGATGATTCTAATGAACGTGTATGGAGTTTAAAAACACAGTGGAGTGCTGCTTGTTTTACCACATGACATCACAAGGTAGAACAGAGTACTATCTATTTGAGAGAAGAACATGTGTGAATGGAAGAAAACACAGGTTTATGGTGAGGAAACAATATTAAAAGAAAAAATAAGAAAAAAGAATAAGAAAATAGTGTAAGATGTGCTGTTTAAAAGGGGAATTATAAAAGTAAGATTTTGTGTTTAGGATATCAGCAGTAAAGTGCCGCAGGAAATACACAAATACTTTGGGGCAAAAAGGGCACTGCAGAAAATGTAACTTTGCTCTGATTTTAAATTTAAAGTGGAACTTTAAAGATTACTGGTGGAGATATATTTTTCTTGTTTTACTTCATGCTGAGCACTGCACTGTTTGTATATATTTGGGAAAATAATTTATATCTGAACCACATACATTGGTCGTCAGTAGCTCATCGACCTGGAGGTCATAAAATTCATCCCAACTCCCACAGATACTTACTGTTGTTGTGTCCTTGGGCAAGAACTTAAGTCACCTTACCTTCAGTGTCTGCTTACACTAGTGTATGAAGGGTGTGCAAGTAGGTGAGTGCTTCCTTGAGTGCCGACGGAAGGTAGAAAAATGCAGTCTAAATTTACATTATGATCAGGGAATGCAGGCATAATTTATCGGACATTGGTTTCTCTGCATTCTCATACTTTTATTAATCATTCTAACTTAAAACATACAATATAGCACTTTTCATAGCACTCAAAGTCATTTCAAAGCTCCGTGTTTTGTTTCATTCACACATGTCTGAATAACCTTTTAATATTACTTTGTCTACATCTCCAAAGCTCACAATGCTCTGTGTTGCCTTGTTTTCAAGTTGACAAGTAACTTTTACCTTTAATTCGATAGATTGGCAATTCCAGGGCTGAAATCATCCAAATGATTCTAGTAAATGTGTGTGAAGTATAAAAACATAGTGGAGCGCTTCCTGTATTACCACATGACTTCACAACATGGAACAGAGTGTTTTCAGTTTGAAAGAAGAACTCAGCCTAAATATCCATGTATGTTTTTTGATGAGGAAGCATTATAACATAGCTCAGAAACCAGCTTAATATGGGCCCTTTAAGAGTAGTAGTTTTATTGAGAGCTGTACCTTCACAATGCTTCCCGTCTCCTTTGTACCCAGACTTGCAGATACATTTGTAGGACTTGAGGGTGTTCTGGCAGATGGCGTCAATGCTGCAGTTGTCAATGTTCTCTGTGCACTCGTCCACATCTACAAGAGCGGAAAGAAAGAAAACATGAAGTAGAGAAGCACAGAGGCTTATTAAAGGTGCACCGTGTAACTTTACTGGAAGGTTCACCATCTGCTTTTCTGTCTCCACGGAGATGTCATTGCTTTGCCTGGATTGTTCTGTAGTATGACATTAAATTGATCTATCCCCATGGAGTCAAGCAGGTAACGCTCGGTCTGATCTGTGGAGAGGTGACCCTACTCACAGTATGAATGCATGATTGAGTATTTTTGAGCAATAAAAACAGCTGCAATTGATTAGATTGGAAATATACAGTATGAGTTTAATGTCATACTGTGGAACATTCCAGGAAAAGTTCAATTCATCTCCATGGACAAATGGCTTGTGGGTGTACTGGTAAAAAAATTAAAAAAAAAGTTCTTTACAACACTCATTGTCATCTCATCCTCCTCCTTTCATCTCATCCTCCTCCTTGTATTTTTACCATCAGAACAGGCAAACACAACATAAGTAACTGTCAAATGCTTTCAATGTTTATATTTCAAAATGAAATTGTTCTTTTGACAAAATTATTCCAGTGATTATTTTATCACTGGCTTTTGGTCATACAGCTACTTTTAGCATCTCACTTAGATTTGAGATTTGAGCCTCCAGTCCATGTTAATCCCAGATGACTATTCCAGGTGTAAAGGATTACCTCCACAGAGCACAGGAGAGGGCCAGCTTAGTGCGGTTTACACAGCCTCCCATAGGAATAGTGTTATCAGCTCCTGGAGCAGGAGCCAGCTGATAACACTGCACAATGACCACTAACACAAACCTAAGGCTTAGCCAATCGACCCCATTACTGCTTACAAAGTATCGCCAAGTCAAACTCTAAAAGGTCTATTACTTTAAGGGACAGTATGTAAGATTCTACATTTCAGAAACATGACCTATGTGTGTTCCTAGAGAGAAGGTAGAAATGTTCAAATTAAATGCAGCTTTTACTGGTAACAATTGAAATCTTGATTTATTCTTAATAACAAAAAGTTTAGACATGATGGTTAAGTTATAATTGGATGTTTTGGTTCTCAAGAAGGTTCTCATTATTCTGTCAGAAAGCAGAGCTAGCCTCACAAGTCTCTCATTTGGGTTGCCAGTTTCAATGTTAAAATCCAGTCGGTTTAAACCTAAAATGCCTCTCTCTGATCGGAATCCTGTCTGCCTAAAATCCAGCACTTGCGGCCAGTCATGAATCAGTGCTAGTGCAGATTCTGCAGCTCAGAGAGTGTCCATGTACTGAGAATCAGAAAGATGTTTGTGTCCTCAATGTGCAGGTTAAAGTACTGGTAACCCAGGTTCAGTTGTGATTGAAAAATCGTTTTAAAACAGTTAGAGTGCAGGCTACACACTGTCCCTTTGAGCAGAAGTAAAAGTATTATTTTAGATTCTGATGTGTATGTGGATCTGGGGTGAGGAAGCTGTGACTGTAATAACATATTTGTGCAACAATATGAACTTGTGATAATCTGTTGTTTTCTTGCTTCTATTTGTTGTACTCACTGTGATCCACTGGGGTTAGTGTTCACCTGTCTTTATTTGAATGTTATAAAAATAAGTAAGACAATACTGAAATATATTTAAAGCAGCAAAAATAGAGAGGTTTCTGGTTTTTCTACAAAGTTTTAGTAAATAAATAAAAATAAAGTAAATAAATACATAAAGTAAATTTTAAAAAAGTGTGAGAATCATACATTTCCAAATCGTATCAGTGAATAATGGTAGTAGTATGTTGGATGTATTATAGGCCTGTCATGATAATTACTATATCAACTTACCATTCAATATATGACTTTTTAAAAATGTATTTATTTAGAAGGTTGAATAATGAACTAAAATGATTAACAAATTACTTAATCTGCTGTTGATTTATTGCAGTTCAACAATATTAAACAATAAAAAAATGGGAGAGTAATTCTGTTTTATGCTTTGGTTTCAGTATTATCATTTACCATCTATATTTACTTCAGCAATATATTACACTTGGAAATTTGTTATAATGTCAGGCCTATGTATTAGATTGTATTCATCCAAAGGTTAAAAAAGTTGAAAAAGCTACAAAAGTAAATATAACTAATCACTGCAAGCCTCAGCCAGTTTTGTGCTTTAGGGCGCATATCAGAGTATAAACAGCTGAATATGCACAACACAGGAAAACAACATTACCACTAAAAGTCCACATTTCATTCTGACTTTCTTTCAATATAGCCTGTGGTGAATCAATTAGTGTTCTTAAGGGACTGTCACAATTTATCCCGAATATTTATTTTGCAGTGTAAAAACAAGCAGCGAAGATATTATAGACAGTTCTGTGGCATGGATTCCACAAAGCCACTTAAGCACTGCAGCCTCCCCCGAGCCCAATATTGATTTATATTATGTGAGAACAATGAGAATCCCAGTGTGCATGGTCTGGGCCTGTTCTGTCTCCCCACATAAGAGGAAGTGTTTTTCAATAGCGTGGGCATTAATCATGTCTAAATATCTATCTTATTGTCAGTGTTCTCAGAGCCAAGTCTGCGCTGTAGTTAATATTCATTATGACACAAGTCTTTTCATCTTCTTATGAATGTTTCCAGATGGGGTGCTTTATCTTTCCACGCTGCGAGGCCTGTTCACCTCACACAGATGTAGGACAGATAAGGCAGCACTGATGCACTGTACACACACACACTTCATACATTATACAATACGGTCTTTATATTTTGGAGTGTGTGTGTGTATATATATATATATATATATAATGAGTGAACAGATATATGAGAATTGAATTTGGGTTGGCCTGTTCATCTAATGCAGATGTTGGACAGATAAGGCAGTACTAGCACACTGGACATGAGAATAAAGATATATAAGCATTACATAATACATTACATGCTTTCTTTGAGCGTATAGATATATTAGAATTCTATTTTAAGTAGGCTTGCTGTCAGAATGTTTTTAAAAAAAAAGTGTAATATGAATTTTACAGAATGGATTGAGAATTTAATATCAGATTTTGATTTGAATAAAAAAAATATATATAATAATAACAGAGAATTATTTACTTTCTTTATGTGTGCGGCGACAGTGGCTCAGTGGTTAGAGCAGTGCACCCCAAATCCTGCGTTATTATTCTGTGGTCTTATACTAGTTCTGATACAGATACAAGATGAATTTAAAACTGTTCAGGAAAAGTGTTTGTGTTTTGTTTTGTTTTTTCAATAATGATACTTGCTCAGTTGGTTATTCAAGTTCTAGTATTAGACTGATCTGATTTTTGATACTTTTGACAGCGAAAAACTAGGATAAACCATAATACTGAGGACTACTTTGACACTGATACTGTAATGCTGGCTTTATAGTGACTGCAAGACGACTACAGTACGTACTTTGAGCAAGGCTTGCATATTGCCTGTTACACTAACTACAACAAATGCGGTGTGTATTTGACCAAAGCAACGCGGTTTCATGTGGGTTCACGCGATAACACATGATAACACAAGTCTAATGACCTGAAACCGCTCCAGACCACTGTGGTGTCGGGGAAAGATACACTTCTTGCAGATTCTTTCTGCGTGTGGCAGGGCGCAAAGGTCAAAGGTCAGTGTGGTAGGGTGCGTTGATTTTAAAGACTTGCTTGATTCGTGATGATTTGGTGTGTAACAATAACCAAAATATCGTGATATCATATCATCAAAAGTCTCTCAATAATACTGTGGGCCATCATAATATATCACATCTCAAGTTTCTTTATATAAATTCATTGTTATGGTGCAGCAATAGCTAAAAAAACAGAGGGAACTGCATCGATCATGATCCTTTGCTCCATTTAGGTGCAAACTACATGAAGAAATAGCAGTTCTAAGCACTTTTAAATTTTAGTTCTTTGAATTAAGTCTTGTTAAAGCATTTTAAGAGGAAAAAGTAGCACATTCACAATTTTGTTAGCCTCCACAAAATATCGCAATAAATATCGTACCGTAAGATGTATAATGTGAAAATATCGTACCGTGAGATTTGGATATTATTACATCCCTAGTGATGAGTATTGTCTAAAAGCACAAGAGTAAGTTATTTCACAACGTTTATAAATGTCACACCTCCACCTTGATTTCAGTATCAATTTAGAGGTGTGACTTGAAATTAAGGTGTGACAACGGAAAGCTATTCCATATAATTCATCATTTTGCATGTATTTTCCATCTGATATTTGTTCAAGAAATATATGTAATCAAAGTACCTACATACGTTTGTCATAGACCATGTTTCTGGAGCAAAATAGTTTTGGACTAGCTGCAGTGTTCCTCACTCAACACTGTTTTCCTATAACTGGACTTTTTCTCCCAAACTCTTGTCTGGCAGCTTTAATAAGTTATTGATACGGATCCAAGAGACAGATGGACAACAAACAGTGGAGTGGCCGCGAACCCCAGATGCCTTTTCTATGGAAATAAACATGTCATAATCAATATCGCCTTCTCTCCATCGCAGAAGAGAAGCTGCCTTCAAGAACGCACTCATCCCTCCCTCCTAATTGACTCCTGCCCCAGTTATAAAAAGATGTTGTTTTTCATTGAGCATTTCGTTCATTCTTTTGTGTTGAAGAATTATGGCCACGGAAGGCAAGTCGCAGCAGCCAACTCTTTGAATAAACAAAATCAAAACAACGAAACCAGAAAAGAAGAAATTTGAACACTTTCTGGGGCCAAGTGTGACTGCATCTGCATGGTTTAAGCATTTCAGTAATTTGAGGCACAGCTAGCCAACGCTGATCTTACATTCTCAAAGTATTGAACGCAATGATTATCTTGGATGAATTTGGTCAAACAAATATGCAGAGTTTACGCTCCGGTGCCCTCAGAAGGCTCCAAATGCCCCATAAAATTTAACTCGAGGCAATTGCGAGAAAGTGCTTATTCAAAATGTGATAATATAGTCTACTAGTGGATGCTGTGCTACTTATTTGGAGAAGGAAACCGAATCAGCTTTCTTTTGC